AGAATAAACGAGTACTCCATTCAATGGAAACAACCCCTTAACCTCTCGAAAACAGTTGGACAGTTATTTTATTCACAAGTAAGAAAACCGTGTATTGATGTTTACATTAACGGTGGTAAACTAAAAAATGGTCTCCGAATTTAAATATTTAGGTTTTATATGGACAAGTAAACTCTCCCTAAAACACACTGTTGAAAAATGTTTAGAAAATATAGATAAGTCGTATATTAAACTAAAATGGTTAAATAGAAATAGACAAATATCATCTAGTGTGCTACGATCGTGTTTATTCGCTTATTCGTTTCCATTCTTTAGTTGGATATTTCCCTTCTTTCCGCTACTTCCACTAACGCAACAAGAATTATTCCTTAGAAAATATAGAGTGGATCTTCGTATTATCTACAGATGTCATTTTATAAAGGCTGAGGATATCTTTAAGGTCATAAAAGAACCTACCCTGGTTCATTATATAAAAAAAGTATATTTCTAAAAGGTTGTCAAAGTTATATGAAACAGATTTGGGTTCATCCTTCTTTTTTAACGATCTATGTTTTTGGGAAAACTTTTATGAGAGATCCTCTAAGTGTACTCACTTCTTCTGTATGAAAAGGGTTAAAAAAATGATACGTAAGCGCGAATCTTCCCTCGTTAAATGGTTAGAATTTGTTTGTTAAAACAGAAGTAAGAAACAATTTTTTATTATTTACTGGTTTTATTTTTATTTTTTTTGTTGTTCCACTTTTTCCCATATTCTGTATACTCAGCCTTTTATCCGTAATATAAATGGTTCGTCGTTATATGTTGCTCGGTCTTATCCTTTTTTTGTAATTGTTTTTCGTATATTCTCTTATTTTTGCAAGCGCTCCAGAGCGTGGTCACCATAATCCAACAAAAGAAAAAACCTTCGTTCGTTCGTTTTTAAGCATGAAAAAATACGCAGTTTTTCTTCTTTTCTGATAATAAAACCCAATAAAAAGTCAATCTTCTATTGTTGATTGATAGATAGATTATCGATTCAACAAAAGAAAAGGCTTAACAACAAATTGTTTCTTATCATCTAACTTGTCTATATACGCACGAACCACTACGTACTTTCTATTGTTTTTAATAATTCTTAAATATGTTCTGCATAAAAGACATCAAAGCAACATGTAATATGTAGTAAAATGAATGAAAGTATCCAGACTATAGCCGATTCTTGATAAGAATACTCCTATTTCTCTATCCTTTATGGTCAGTAGATATATAAGATGATATTTTTGCATTTCTGAAACTTTTGATCAAGTAAGTCTAGAGCCAAAATTTGCGTGAAATTTAATCAGTTTTTTGGGTTTTGTTTTTTTAATCTTAATTAAATGTGGAACTATTCTACTGACTTTCAGATATAATCCTATGTATATCAATAATCATTCAAATTTGAATTCTTTTGTCTTTTGTAACAAAATTTTCAAATAGGATTCCATAGTTAATGTCGGAGAAATTTTTTGAAAATATCCACAATCCTAGAGAAAAGCGTTATGTTTTTGTTTATGTTTTCTTTTTGCAATGTAATATTTGTTATTATGTGTATTGCCTCTGGATGAAACGAAATGAAATAAGAAACAGAAAGAAAACAAAATGAGTAAAAGCTGAGAAGAGAACTCGGCATTAGTATTGTTTCTTTAATTATACATGTTGTTTCTTTTTATATTGACTTTGAAAGAAGTGATAAAAATTGAACAGTACACAGAGAGAAAACACAAATGAAGACGAAAAAAATAATAATTAATTAATTATATTTAAAATAATGATAATTGTTGAATTTTGTTTTTTATTATCGCAATTTCTATTTCATGATTGTGTGTGATGTAGTTGTCATATTTCATATATTGATCGTTTAGACAAACAAATTTTTTTCTTATGTTAAGAAAAAAAAAAGAAGTCGTTACAAATAGAGTAATCAATAGAATTCAACTTTTAGAGGCTTGGTTAGATCTCTTTGTTGTTGTGTTGCCTACCAGGAGTAACAGCAACAATATTGTGATGATGATGATTTTAAAATATAATAAATATATGCATGTATGAAGACAATTTAGAGAAGCAAAGAAGAAAAAAATAAAACCGACTAACAACACACACAGGCACGCACAAAAAAAAATAAAATAAAAAGAAATTGAACAAAAATAATAATAATAATAATAATAATAATAATAATAAGAGGAAAAAAATTATTATTTTGAAGTCATCATTGTAACGAATTCTAAAATGAAGATATAAATGCGTTGATGAAATTATAAGATATAAATCCTCTTTACACACATAACTACACGCTAAAACAATTTAATCGGACAAAAGAATAAAGAATGAAAAGAAACGGTCACGAAAATAGTGATGTGTACAACAAAAAATAACAATAGATGAAAAAAAACAAAAGCATGAATAAATTAAGTGTTATTTATCTTTCAAATTATCTATGCATGGATGGAAGAAAGAGAAACATAAGCTAATCGACCAATTTTGTTAAAGGAAAAAAACAAGATAAAGAGACATTCAAGGTCTAACTTTTTCTTTGAATATGTAAGAAAGACGAAACCGATAGATGGTAATTAGGAAATTATTGATATTTCATACATTCTCGATCCATTTTGCCTTTAAGATTTCTAATTTAAATGTCGAATTCTAGACAAAATGTTTTCTCTACAAAAATTAGATATTTTAAAATTTTGTTTGAGTTTTCTTTCGCCAACTAGACAAATTTAATTAGTATAAAATGTTCGATACTGAGAAAAGTACCAAATATTTTATAGAATATGAATTTTGTATACCGTTTTGGATAAATACTTTATAAGACTAAGAATAGTTTCATTTTGTAACGATGACATTTGACATCTCAATAAAATGTTTTATATGTATAGTTCAGAAATAAAATATTAAAATACAGAATGGCATCGAAGAACATACCAACAATTTCCTAATAATAATGCAAGATCTTTTCTCAAGATCAGATAACGGTGAGTAAACCAAATTGGAAGGAAAGATCTAGAATTTCATTTAAAGTCAGAATGTATAGTTCGAAATATTTTATAGTATCCTAGCCGTCTGTGAACAGTGTGCATCACATATTTTTAGTGCATTGACTTCAATAGAAACATGAAATATGTAAAATAAAGAATTGATGATCTTCAGTATTAGAACATTTCTATACTTGCCTTCATAATTTACTTGTCCATCTAAAATGAAGAAGAAAAAAAATGAATTGCTATTTATAAAGTTTAGAAATATTTAAGAAAATGAGTATACCTCCATCAATATCTGCTTCTCTAATCATTTCATCAACCTCTTCGTCAGTCAATTTTTCTCCCAAATTTGTCATTACATGTCTGAAAAGAAGAGATTAGATATTGGTTTTTTTTCAAAATCTAAAGATCGTTACGTTAAAGAATATACCGTAATTCGGCTGCAGATATAAATCCATTGCCATCTTTATCAAACACTCGGAATGCCTCACGTATTTCTTCTTCACTATCAGTATCTTTCATTTTTCGTGCCATCATAGTTAAAAATTCTGGAAAATCAATTGTGCCATTTCCTAAAAATAAAATTGTATAATTAAAAGTAAAAACATTTTGTTATTAGCCGTACTACAATGGACATTTGAATGGATATATGCGGATAAAGTGAAAATGAAAAGTAACAATGACTTGCGGTTTATATTTTGATTTTTTAAACTAGTCCGCATGAATGCGTACGAAAAATGACAAAAGTACCATCTGAAACTGGTGCATCTATCACACTGATCTTTCAAAGAGAGACTAACAAAAAAAATGAAAATATGATATATTTTAACTTCTAATAACTAGATTTGAACATCATATTTTCTTCTATAAAATTATGCAAGTTCCAGATTTGTATCTATTATTGTTCATTCGTATTATAGATTATCCTGAGAATAATCGGACATCTTGAGTTTTCTGCTTTGAAGATTTATGAATTAGAGTTCTGTGTGTTTGGCTTTCGTAAATATTTGAACTTGAACTCAAAAATGTTTTTTTTCTCATCAAACGACTACTACATACTTCATACGTTCAAAGAAGTTGTATTTACGTTTATGAAGTCATAGTGGACGATTGTATACAAATTAAGACAAGGAATGAAACAAATAAATAAAAGAAGTAAAACGTTGTCTACTTTTAGCTCCAAGTAGAGACCATCTACGTCAATTCGCAGTGATCCCGGCTCCTTGAAACTACAATTTGAAGCTAAAAGAAAACAACGGAAGTAAACGAATCTCGTGTTTGTTATCATACTCTTTAAAAGAATAGTCGTCTTTCTTCAACTTCTTGTTGTGAATTATTGTTGAAATATTGTTAAAAATACATTTAAAATGATAAAATCCAAGAATGAGCAAATTGAAACTTCTATGAAAAATAATGAGCAATTAATTAAATTTATAAAACTCAAAGAAAAGACCACATTTGGAATCTGGAAAAAAATGTTTCAGACATGAAACTAAAAAAAAAGTTTTTTTATTTAAACACGAATTCACGGATTCGTGTTCAGGGTCATGTTTAACACTCAGGATTCTGTTGTGAGAGAACATGCTCAAGTTTTCAATCAATTTTTTTTTTTTTACGTGAAAGTCATTTTAATTAGAGGTTATTATTAATGTTGATCACGAATCTGATTTGTTTTTCCCTTTAATCCTTTCAAGTACCAAGTCTCTAGAGAACTATACATTTTTAAAATACAAGAAAAATCCTCATATCTCTGATATTTACTAAATACTTAGAGAAATTGTTTTATTTATCGTTGAAAATTTCTTTTGTACATCTAAATATTTTTATTTAACCTACAAAAATCGTATTAGAATCTTTTCACTCGGCATTCTGAATAGATCTCAAAAGATCTGATACTTGAGAACTCTAAGGGGTAAAACATAAATTAGATTCGTGATCAACATTAACACTAATCTCTAATTAAAATGTCTTTTACGAAAAAAAAAAATCAATCTGGCACTTGAGAATGTTCCCTCTTCAAAACTAATTGCAAACATAAGTCTTCGACTCATCTGAATTACATAGCAATGTTTGTTCTTTGAAAAATCTTCAAAAACCTAGTGAAAACCTGTATGTGAAGCGAAATATACCATTGACAATTCAGTCAAACGATCAAGATATACCCTGTTTTTATCTCTCCAATCTTATTCTATTTTTAGGATTAGAGTAAAAACAACTTTCTGCTTTTTAACGTCATCTAGTTTTTCAAAAAGAACAAAGTTGATATGAATACTTTTATTACATTTATGGACACATAAATTCGGGGCTAAACACGACTCATTCTCATTTAATGATGACGACAGACGAACTTAAGCTAAATTTAAAGATGTAAATATGTCCGATTATTTATCAGCGGTCATAAAGAATTTAGAATAATGACTGAACTCCTATTTTTATTGTTCTTTTTCTTCTTCTTCTTCTTCTCACATGACCGTTGTGTGATTTATCATTAATTAATAGTCTTATCTTATTATTTCTTGTGAGTAGTTTTCTTTTTTACTTTCTGGAATTGAATAAAGAAAAAAAATCTATTTATTGTATAAAGAAAATCTATATATATATATCGCGTTCGATTTATTATCAGAAAAGCAAAATGTCTCATAGATAAAATAATATGTAATTATATTTTATTTCTTCAGAGTTTTAATTACTATTTTTACTCTACTCTGTGCATATAAGAATATAATTATGTGTACAAAATCATTTTACAGATAACTGATTATACTGATTAAAATCAGTAATAATTTAAAATTTTTCAAAACGATAATTTAGTCTCTTTCAAAATATTATAGAAACAACTGTAAATTTTGACTATAAATGATGAAATGAGAACTCATCTAATCATACATGACTAAAACAAATTAGAAATCATCTGTACTAATAATTAATAGTTTTCTTAGTAAAAAAAAATATTTTGCTAAAGTTGTGTCATTATATTATTAGATCAATGACGCAATGAAAGGTAAATGTTTTTTTTTATACTAACTAATTGAAATTTTGATCTTTATACTTTCTTTTTGCCCTTAGTCACTCAATAAATTAGATTTATTAGGTTTTTTTTTCTCTGCAATTATTTGATTAACTCAGTGAAGTTGTGTGATGGGAAACAGCTAGAAGGAAAATAGGATTCAGATAATACAACATTTTTGTTTTAATTATATAGTGGATCAACATACACACAAAGAGATGCTTATCGACCTTCAAATAGTACGACTATGTCATGCCACAGAAACAATAACAATGTTCAATCACACAAAAAAAAAACTAGAAAATAATGATGTTACACATAATTTGCAAAGAAGAATGAATAAAATCTAAGATGATACGTTTGAGTGTATTGTGAGAAGATTAAAGTAACTCGAACAGAAAGAGTTTATGGTACCCTAGTTAAATTATCTGCATGATCATAGAGTAAAAACTATAATTTCGATTTCTAGATGAGAAATATTTTTCCTTAATTAAATTTATATTACAGTTTACGTTTCGTTGTCATATCTTTCATCTGATGGCGAATGTGTTCTATTCTGTTTTAATTAAATAGTTTAATAAATATGATTTTTATAGATAAAGCATTAATCAATATTGGAAAAGAGTCTTACTAAGAGTGAGAGACCGATAGTGGAACTATACTAGGTTTCATAGAAGAAAAAAACAAAATCTGTTTTTCTTGATTCTTATTCAGAAAAGAAAGGTTCCTACAGACATGAAGAATAGTTCAATCAGTAGAGTAGTTCACAAACTTTTTAACATTTTAATCTTGCATCAGTCTACGAAAATCATTTCGCACTAACTCGAACGATAATTTTTATTACTATCTTCGAGTGAGAAAAAATGATAAATCTCAAAGGCTTCCAGACGTTCGGCTGCCTATGGAGTAAGATATGAGTTTAAACCAAAGTTCATATGCTAATAGATCGATTTTAGAAGTAGAAATCAAAATGTTAATAATTAGCGGTTGGTAAAACCAGGACGTCTACTCTATCAAAATACACAACCTGAAAATATGATATTAAGAATTGTCCTCAAATCTCCACATACGTCATCTTACAGTGCCAGATCCGGTTCCATCAGTCATACTGTATGCCATTACATATACATATTATTCTATTTCCACTCTCTCTTGTTAGAATAATGGATGAATAGTTTTGTGCGCCTATACAACAATTTTAATATAGAAAAAGGGACTTAACAGAAGCATTACAGTAATTAAAATTTATTTTTCAGACAAAGTTCAACTGGCAGCACTCATACATGTATAATGACGCTAAAATAATAAAAAATAAGAGCACTATTGCACATTTCGTTCATAAAAAATATTTTGTCATAGATGAAATTAGATGAACTAGAAACTTTGGAATAAGCGGAATTACATCGTTCTTAATTAAATTTTAAAATTAAATTATTAAAACTTACCATCGGCATCGACTTCATTTATCATATCTTGTAATTCAGCTTCTGTTGGATTTTGTCCCAAACTTCTCATAACTGTGCCTAAAAAAAAAATGAGAAAAATGATTGATTTTTATCAGATATGATCTTAAGTATTTAATTATATGTGAACTATAGGATATACCTAATTCTTTTGTTGTAATTGTTCCATCTCCATCTTTATCAAATAATGAAAATGCCTCTTTAAATTCGGCAATTTGTTCTTCTGTTAATTGATCCGCCTATAAAGAAAAATGGGTTGAATATTGTAAAATATATTGACTATAAAATTAGATAACTTTGCATATATCTCAACAGTTTCCAAGTTTTGTTTAGCTATATATTAGGGTAACAGTTACCTTAGAGATAATTAGTTTTCTTTTTAATGGGTAATCATTGAGATATTAGCAAGATATTGAGATATTAAATACTTTGTATTTATTTAAATCATAAACATCGATGTTTTACTGTTTCAAACATCATTTTTAACACAACAGTGTGAAAGTGAATTTGACAAGACTCTTTTATATAAAAAAAAGAGAGAGATAAACATCTATCTTACAAACATTCATTTTACAACATGAACACACAGTTAGAGAAATAGTTTATGTTATCTTTAAGATATTTTGTATAGTATATTTTATATATAACATGGAAGTTACTATTATATGTAACATCTATTAACACGTCTTCACTTATTCAAAACAAGTCCAGATTAATGTAGAATTTAGAACAATCTAAAATTTAGTATGAAAAAAGAACAAAGTTTTAGAAACAAATATTTTTGTGTATTGAAAACAAGATCAATTTTAACGTAAATTATTGATCAATATATTTTTACATCATTTGTTCGTATGAAAAATATCAGCAGTAAAAATGATTATTTCAATGATTTCTCTTTAAAATAAAAAATAGAAAAGCGCAATTTTATTTGACTCATTAGGATAATAGTCTTAGTTTTAAGCTTCATTTTATTCTGATAAGAAATGTCAAATATTTAGAAGATTAGCTTGATTGAAATCATCCAATCCATTATGTTTTATTGAGGCACGAAAACGAGTTTGATTTCATAATTTAATTTAATTATTTTTTCAATTTATTTGTATAATAGAAGAAATATTTATGCTGATTACCATTATCATGACAATAATGATAAAGTCATTTTTTTTCTTTTCAAATTTACTTTTCAATAAAATAATTCCATCTGTTTCCTCTCTCTCTCTCTCTCTCTAATAATAATAAATAATTATTTGGCTTTAGTATTCAGTTCCGTTTAAAAGACAAAAGTAGTGCTCTTTCTCACTCTATTTTCTTCAAGAGGGCATCACCATCCATTATTCAAATATCGCTCTCTCTCTCTCTCTCTATATATATATAAGATGGTCTAACGTCGTCGTCTCTCGTTTCTTTCTCCTCACTCGACATCAAAACACTTATGTACATAAAAATACAAAATATGGAAAAATGATTTAGACAATCTGACAAGAATCGGATGTAATAATCAATTAAGAAATAAATAAATAGAACGATAAAGAAGAGAGAGGGAGAGAGAAAGAGAGAGAGAAATAAATATTCGTTCATAACAATAGTACATCATCCAAATTACATTCGCTTTTTTTCTTTTACACGATGAAAAAAACAAAATAATAAAGATTTTTGATTTCACTCCTATACGTTGTTGAGAAAATAGGAATGGAGTAGTCCTATCTTATGTCGACCGAAACATACTAGCATAAACGAAAGGAAGATGAAATAAAAAGGTCACAAATCTTTTCGATTATTGATAAATAAAATACGATAGAATTATCTTTCATGCATCAATTTAAACTTTAAATCTACGGTTAGTTATAATTAAACTCGATGCAAAATGACCATAACAGAAGCTGAAATCATTCAATGGTTATCTAGTAGTTATATACCCATGCTAAGAAAGTCGTCTGAATTTTGATGATATGTCACGATACGCTTAAAGGTCAACAGCAATTCACGATTTTTATAAAAGTCGACGACTAATCGCGAAAAGTCGGCCATTTTTTATAATGTCACGATTTGTCATCGTTATTTTATTTTTTTAAAAAGTTGTTCGAATCGACAACTAATTCATCGTTTTGTTTTGCAGTAGAACAAGTATATAATAAACACCTAATTTCAATTAATATTGATATTTCTTTCAAATTATCTTTTGTTTAGATTAACTTTTCAGTGCTAGACTCATATCTGGTTCTCTTCAAGCGTTTAATCGGTACGAGTCAATTTGTACAACGAGGGGCCAGACTAGGGTCTGAGTCGGCTGATCAAAACTAGAATTTCGACTTCAATTCGACTAGAACGTTCTTAAGACAGATAGAAACCTGGTGTCTGTGAATAACAAGCAGCAACACGAAAAGAAAAAAAATCGCCGATATGTCGTCTAAAATGCTAAAATGTTGACGACTTCTCGCGCTATATTGACCAACGCCAACATTTACCACATGATTATACGTTAAAAAACAAACTCTTGAACGGAAATCTCTATAATTCGTTACTAAAACTCTCTCACCAGTCTAGAAACCTTCGATATTTTCTAATGTTTCTATAAATGGCATATTTTATCTCTACGATCAATCTCAATATAATTCAGAATTGAGAAATTGACAACAGACTTTTCCAAACTTTGAACTTTTCGATATGTCACACTTTTTCACGACTTAAATAAATCTTAAGAAAATTTTGTCATAATGATGATGATGATGATGATGATGTATAAAGATGTTTTCTCTTTGTTTATGAGTTTAAAAAATAAGTGCCTCGAGTAATTATTATTTTGGTTGCTGTTTTTTCGATAAGCTAAAAACCAAGCAGTGCTACTTTACTTATGATAAATAGAAAAAAAAAAAAAAAAACAAAAAACTATCATTCATTCTCTGAAACGTATCTTACGCGTGCCGTCAAAAAAACAACTAGAAAAAAATAAGAAAATATTCAGATAAAACAAATACATAATTAATTTGTCAAATAAATTAGAAAATAAATTTTCAAAAATAAGATAATCGTATTTTATCTTGTGCCTTATCTTATGGAAGGGCGTATGTAGAAATCTACTAGTGACCAGAAATATAATTTTTCGTTTTTTTTTTTTGTTTTTTTTTTTGTCTATTGACGTGTTCACACTCTTGATATTTAGGTCAAATGAGAAGATAGAGTACGTATATTATATGTTCGGTTGAGAAGCGCTTGCGTTCCCGAAAAAAAAAAAAGAGAAAAAAAAAAATGTAATCAATTATAAATCTGTGTCCGCGTATATACATATATTTGTATCGGGTAATATTATCATCAGTATAAATCTTTTCTTCTCTATATGTATGTGATGTGGTGTTTATACTTGAGAAAGAAGATTATTAATAATCTTTTTTTTGCTTTTTTTTTTTTTCGACAAAATATTCATTGACATATATTAGATAGATATACAGAGAGTTTTTATAGACATCATGACCCCTATTGAAATGTAGGAGAGAGAGGATGGTGATGATAGTGTAGGAGAAAAGGGATTGTCAAAAAGTTCAACAAATAACCTGTTATGCAAACATTAATAATTTCTTAAATATCTATTTTATATAGAGAAATAATTTAGAATATCAACTATATATTCATCTAGCTTCAAGAAAGTCTGCAGAACTACAAAAATATTTCCATACAGCTGTTCTGAGTCAATGTGACTTTGGTAACTAAGGAGTAAAAAATATAACAATTATTTTTGAAAAAATTTTGCAATAAATGAAAAACTTTATTATTTTTTAAAAACAAACTCATTTAATCACTACACAAATATATCTCAGACAACGAAAACTTATTATTGTTCTTTACTTCCTTTGTGTACTTTTATCCTGCAGGAATATTTGTAATAAAAGAACATGTTCATGAAGTAAAAAGATAAATATGATATCATTCATATATATTCTTATATATCTTAGCTATTTGTCTAATTATAAAAAATTAGATTCTCAAGTATGAACTATCATAGTAGTCTTAGATGAAGAATATAATATCACTAATTATAAACAACAACGTCCAAATCAGTCTTGTCAATCATTTACAAAAAAAATTGGGATAGATTTTAAATTTTAGTATACAATTTTAAACATAAAATCTTATTGTTCGTATCAATATAAGATTAATAATATTTATTCTCAAAATTAGAGTATGAAAGATCAATGTTACGGATATTTTCGCGCAAATAAAACAATTCCATTGATAACATACTACAAATATTAGTGTCGCCAAAAGTAACTCAGTCATTTTATCTTTACTTCTCAGATCAACGAAGAGTGATATTTAATAACTTATACATAACCTCTTAACTATATGACGAAAAAATTGCCTTTAGTCGACTAAAAACTGTCCGTTTACACTTCACATTTTTTGTCCTTTATTTTATCGTGAATCGTGGCCTAAAAATGGGCATTTAACCGTACATAATTAAAACTAAAATTCACATCGGTCATTAACTGCATGTTAGCATGTCATTTTTGGAACAGGTAAAATATCAGGAAAGAAACTAACATTTTTGACGATAACAGTTAAATGTCAGTTTTTAACTATTTGTCAACAAATCATTCATCCATTCCTTTCACTACTGTGACTAATGAAAACATGATACCGATTCTTTTGATAAAACTTCGAATTTTTCTCTTCTTCGATTATAAAAGCCATAGAGGCATGTCGCGAGGAAGTAGCTCTGATCCGAAGACTGATACTAATGACGCTATCATAATTCTAAAGAACCAAAAATATTGAAATTTTTAGCTTCAGTCTTTGTGAGGTTACTAGCCAAAAAAACTGACTTCAGTAAATGTTCGAACAATAGGTTGCTAACGGCCCATAATGGTGCAATGGCGGCGTTAAAACGAACATTATAAAATGTTCATTTTTTTGATCGTAATAAAACTGTCGCTTTTAGATATTAAAACGTTCCCACTTAAATACATAGACACGATCAAAAAATTATCGCAATGGTCTAACAATGTCCATTTAACAAACATTAGATAATTCATCAATAAGTGTTTAATAGACAATTAATCACACCGTTTTCAACGTCCTACGTTGATGTATTGAGGCACAACTGATATCGTCAGAGAGAGAAATACATAGACCTTCAACGCATAAAGGGAATAGTATAAAGCAAAGTTGAAAAGAAAATTTGTCTACGCTTAGCACGGAAAAAAATACAATCAAACAGAATATATCATTATATAGACGAATCAAAACTACTATTAATCAATCAGTTACTTACCATTTGGAATATAATTTGAATATAATCGTTTTTCCTAATTTAACAAAACAAGTCTACAACTAGTCAAACACACACTTTTCTAGTGTGTTTGTTTGTGTTCAATCGACCAAACAAACTCTGGTTGGACACGGAGAAGAAACGACGACAACGATTGAGGACAAATAATATGTGTGCGTATGGTATAGTGATGACGATTCCGGTGTGCGTTCTTTGTATGTATGT